ATATTTTCGAGTTCACTCGGATTCAGTGATAGCAATTTTTTCGTATTCGTAGCGGGCATTTGAATTCGTAGATTTTCTACGATGGATTCCGTGATAGCCCTGATTATTAATGCTGAGTAAAGTAATAAATTTATGTTCATATGTACATACATTTTCAGCATAGGTTTTATGACAGTTATGCGATAAAATTCGGAATGGGGTTTCTTCTTACGGAATGCAGACATACGAGTTAATTTAAGTTTTGTTTAAAAAATCAATTGCTTCAGATTAATTGCATCTAAACGATCTCCTCGCTCGATTAATTAAAATAGTGAAATATTTGAGAAGCTCTAGCAAAAAAACAAAAGGGTATAGAACCTTCCACTTGGGCTTAAATTAAAGCTAGAACTCTCGACAACTATTCCTGGAAATACCATTCGTGCACCTTGACTTGATGGTCACTTGTAGTCATTTGTTGAATAGCAAAAACTGATTTTGGCGAAGTTTGAGTACCTACCGCAATTAAACAATAGGAGGTAGAATCTTCCACTTAGGCTTAAATTAAGGCTTGAACTTTCGACTACAATCCCTGGACCTTGACCCTAAAGTCACTTATAGTCATTTATTGAACTGCAAAATCGGATTTTGGCACAATTTTCCTTCTTCCAATAGCACAATACTCCAGTATTTTGTTATTGTTCAATAAATGACTATAAGTGACCACCAAGTCAAGGTGAATGAATTTTATTTTCAGGGATAGTAGCGGAGAGTTCTAGCTTTAATTTAAGCCCAAGTAGAAGGTACTATCACCTTTTGTTTTTTTTTTTTTTGCTTGAGCTTCTCAAATATTGCAAAAAACGCGATTTTATGATACTTTGACCACGTTTTTCTCAAAATCTAAAGCTGATGGAAACTTTATACTTACAGATTCGCAATCAGCACAAACAAGTCTATCAACAACAACTTTACATTTTAGGAAACGAAATCAGTGTTGCCCTGTGTAATCTGAGATTTGCCTGTGTAAACGGGGTGATTAAAAACGAGCTTTGATTGAGATTATATTTATATGTGAAAATATTTTTTGACTACTTCTTACACCAGCAGGGATAGAATTCCACAAACGTATATCGTTGACGAAAAACAGTCTCTCTGCTGCTAACTTACTAAAGTGAGGGACAATTAGATGTGTTACCCGTGTAGACCTAGTAAATATTAACTTATTAAAAAGGTACCCTGGAGATTCCATAACAACCAGTCTATATAGAAAGTAGGGATGTTGCGGATGCGAATGCGGATGCGGATGTTTAAAAGCTAACATCCGCGGATGCGAATGCGGATGTCAAATATTTTTAAGAAATAATTTTGGTGAGTACATTAGGGGATTTAGGTAAATAAAAAATGGAAAAGTTATTAATTTTCAATAATATTTTTTTATTTAGTACTTCAATTAAAAAATTGGAACAATGTATTTAAGCAAGACCGATAGAATACAAGATTGCGCTGATTGATGTGAAATTCGGGAGAGTAACGTGAATATGACGTTATCGGATATTTGCCGGCGGAGAGAGCTGAGAGAGATCTATCAGTATGTATATGTTTTGCATGTGTATATGCGTATGTATGTTACACAGGCAATACACAAAATCTCCTGTGAAGTCATAATTCTCTCAAAATTTTCAAGAGAGAGTTAGCGGTATCACAATCAGCGCCACCTTCCGTATTCGTTTCACCATGGTATTTAAGAAAGAGTAATTTTGCTAACTTATCGGATTACAGTTTATTTCCTAACGGGTGGTAAACCAAACCTGCGCCACTAAATAACTACTCGCTCGAGGCGACAAACTTGAAAAACTTGAAACTTGACAAAATTGTAAATTCTTTTCGATTGACGATGCACCAGTTGAGAGGACTTCAGTAATATTTCCTTTTTTATTGCGGTGCAACAATTTCTTTTTGTCAATTGCATCGGGGTTGCAAATGTCGGATGTATCCTCCTGACTTTAATCTTCACAATCTAGCATCATGACAAGATCGTTGTTTAAACACCTTTATGTTCCAATTTGGAGCACCAATTCTTTTGGTTGTTTCAGAATTAGGAAAACCTGTTACGTCATCAGCGTTTTTCGATTTTAGTTTTTGTAATTCATTTTTAATCCTGTCTTCTGTGACTGGTTTGAAAAATGTGCGCCTATAGCGAGGTTGTGAATAGGTGAATATGGCAAATAAATTGTTATTTTCTAGGAATGAAAATTTCGAAGAAAATTCTGTTTTGAAAGTCGTGGCTGCCAGCAGCCTTGTTCTTTTGTTAAAAAGGTGCCGCGTTTTTATAATAATTTTTATTATGGAATCACGGACGATAAAGGTCTCAGATTTGCCTAGTTCCCGGGTGACTTCTTGGAAAGGTTCTCCTGTAATGAATACCTTGTAATTAATTTTTTCTTATTAGTTAGCTGAACTCGGCTTTTCCTAGTTGCAGGCAGTCACAATTAATTACTCACCGCTGTCGGTACCATAAGCCCTATTTATCCGTTTTCCGTTTGTTCCATTCCATGCGCTCAATATGTTTTGATATATTTTTTGAGGCGAACGAAAATTTTCAACATAAGTATCGTTAATACTATTTCACATTGTCGCTGAAATGCAGAAAACACAACTAACTAAATTTTTGTATAGCCTAAAACGATGTGGGGGTCTTATGATTCGAGGAAATGCATCATAATCAAAAAAAGTTTATTTTGGATTTTTAGTTAGTTACGGCTTTTTGTATTAATAGATATATTACATGCCAAGTCCCACTCCTCAATAGATATAAAATTCACCTTGAATTAATTCTTATTTAATTTGTGAACTTGGCTGTTGACTTATTTACATATAATTCCATCTTTACTTCGATGCGTGCTAATTTTTACAATTTACGCAAAATTAAAATAAAATTTTTTGTTTTCGAGCTGAAAGGCTAATAAAAGGAAACACAGAACTTAAGAATAATAAGTTTTGTGAGAAAAAAATAATTGCACTTTTCTAAGAAAAAGTTGAAAAAAACTAGCGATGCGTCCAATTTTTTCAACAGACCTTTGACAAATACTTAATATTCGATAGTTACCTAATTCTTACCTAATTAAAGGTAATCTTTTAACGCTCAACTCGACTCTCTTTATAGCCAGCCGTTGAACATTTCCGCTGGAAATACCTACTATTATCTTACTCTTTGACTTTAAATTGCGAAAGAAGGTCGACGTAGCGGACAGTCTTAACGTAGCAAAAAATGGCAAAATTTTTTTGTTTGCCAGATATACGTTTTATCAGTGCACTTGCACAATATTCGCATTGGCAAAAGCTCCGCATTGATTATTGCGAATGCGAATGTTAAAATTTATGCGGAAGTTCCGCGGTTGCGAATTCGAATGTGAATATTCGCAACAACCCTGATAGAAACTCACAGTTTCCGGCTTTCATATATTCTGATATTTCACAACCCAAGAGGCTACACTTCCACGGCGATATATGCTCGAACCTTGTGAGACCATACACATAACGGGTTACATTATTAAACAAAATATCAACCTTGCGCATCGAGTTGCTGCCAAGCTTGCTGTAAGCTACCTCAGCGTATGTGATTTGCGGCATAATTATTAGTAGAGCAAGCTGACGCCTTGTGCTCAGTGGAGTATAAAATCCAAACACTTTTAAATTTCTTAAAGCATAAACCCTCTCAACCAGAGCGTATTCATTATATATATTACAATTTAGAATTTTTCTTAGGCCAAAAAATAAGGTTCACGATGTTACTAAATCTACTGAAGGAGATATGTAGAAGAAATTGTTCTATAACTCATCGAAAACCACTAATTTTTTAACGAATTTTTTTACAAATGTAAAAATAATTTGAAAATATACTTACATATATGAACGCGGAAAATCGTCCCAGGGAGTCGTATCTCCTGTGTGAGACGAGTAACGAGCTTCGTCGAAAGGGTATAGGTCTCTAGAATACTTTTATACTTTCCTTCACTCTTGTTTTCAAATTAAAAAAATGTTTGTGAGAAAGTTTTTCCTGAAAACAACTAGAGATGCATGTAAATTGTTCGTCATTGTTGTATCGCAGGCGTTCTGTATGTCTGCCTATCAAGATATGTCCTGCCAGTAGCCCAAGTTGCTTCTCTGCTTTGATTCTCTGCTTGGTATATTTATGCTATACCCTTTATCAAGAGTGAGCACTATCATCATCGACAGGATGGTTAGAACCGTGCATTGCTTCAGTAGGTGTTGTGCAAGCCGTCCTCTACACTTTTTGTAACTTATGATATTTATCTGATTTCTTCTTTAGTGGCCACCATTCCAATACAACATAGAGGAATATGGATCTAACTAGAGATGGGCACGGGACAAAAATTTCAGTTCCGATTCCTCCCATCCCGAAATAAAATTTTTAAGTCTCGGAACCGCCCATCCCGACGTTTTACAGAATTGTAGGGTGGGTCCCGTGGATCTTGAAAGCTATTACTGAGATTAATTAACATCCTCTGAAATTAATTTTAAATAATAAAAAAACTGGCATCTTCCAATGTTTTTTTTTTTGCTTCGCTGTTCGTGTTCGTGTCAATAAAACATAAAAAGTGTTTATTTCATAAAACGTTTTTAAAGATTTTCTGCCCGCAAAATTTTTGAAGACCTTCCCGATACCGCCCATCCCAGGCATTTTGAAATCAGTACCGTGGGTCCCGCAGGTTTCGATATCCCGCGCCCATCTCTAGATCTGACCATGGCAGTGTATAGCCATATTACTACTCTCGGGATATCCCCCTTTTTGGGCGATAGCTCCTCTACAAGTTACAGTGCAGTCTGTGAAGCTGGAATGTTTTTAATTTTGTACTTTTTCTGAAGCCATTGTTTGATCATAGTAAAAAAAATACAGGAGAATTGACGACAATGACACGTAAAATTAAAATTTATAATATAGGACCTTTATATAAACGTATTTAATATACAAACATACGTTTTTAATTTATTTATATTTCCAGGTTGTTGTTGTGGGGAGTGGTGCTGACGAGCTTTTCGGAGGGTATACGAGGCACAGAAATGCATTTTGTCGTTTTGAGGGGAATGAAGATGAAAAGCTTATGAACCTTCATAGAGAATTGGAGAAAGACTGGAATCGAATATGGGCTCGTAACTTAGGTCGAGACGATAGAGTTGTAGCCGACAACGGTAAAACATTAAGAGCACCTTTTATTGAAGAGAAATTAGCCCAATATGTTCGTTCTTTGTCACCTTCCCAACTTTGTTGTTTTCTTTTGAAAGAAGGCATTGGAGATAAGCTATTTTTGCGACTATTTGGGTTTCAATTAGGCTTAAAAGATGTATCTAAGTTAAAAAAGCGAGCAATTCAGTTTGGTTCCAAAATAGCTAATAAAAAACTAAACGCGACTGATCGATCCGTATACTTGTAGCAAAATAAAACCTAGATTGTGACATCTTAGGTCGATGCTTTACCTCAATAAAAATGTTTAAATTCTACATGAAATTGAAAAAAAAAATTGGTCTGAACAAAGACAAACATATTCTGGGCTATCGCTGAAACAATCGTAGTCCGATTTTAATACAATGTACGAAAATGCGATCACTGAATCCGAACTGCTACGAACTAGAGGGCTGCATGAATTCATTCAAAACGGCTTATGAATTATTCATATACAAAACGAATGAATGATTTTGGCTTAACGTTTTTTTGAATTTGAGTGAATACATGTTGTGATATATGTGTCGACATTACAATATTCACACAAAGTGAAATTAAATTGAATTGAAGTACATTAAAATTTTTTTTTATGAATATCCAAAAATATTTTTTCTATGTACATATGTATGCCCAACCAGCACAATCATTGTAAACGAGCTCGTAACTGGATATTTTTTCGAAGAAAAACTGGCTAAAAAGTCGTTTATGATAGCCGTTTACGATTCGTTTTCGAGTACTTTTTCGCTTGAAATTGTCGAGCGCCTACGAACAATCGTAAACGTATCGAAAAAGCATTCGTATGCGAATATAATATATTATAAAATATTGTGGTTCAAGAAAAATTTCCAACAGAATGAATATTTTTTCTTGTGTCGACAAATTACAAAAAGCCTCTTTCTTTTACTTTTTTATTGTTTTATCGTTTTCGAGCCTTTCTCTAACTTTTCGCCGATCGAGAATCCCTCGTAAAACATGATGTTCGTAAAATGTACGTTTTCTTGCTGGCTGGGTTATATACATAAACACACATACATATGTATGTACAAACATCCCTGCAAAAAATGGGACTAATCCGGGATGACTCCGGGAGCAATCGCAAAGGAGCATGCGACTAATACCACTGGAATGAACTGATCGCTTTTGTTCGAGCATGTCCTATGAAGAGACTAATTGTTCACCTTTATACCCGAACGGGTATAAAAAGCGACTATTAACTTTTAAAAAATAAAAATAAAAATTTGCGCCAGCTGAGATTCGAACCGGAGCGCTCAGTTTTATTAGGCGAATACTCTCTCTGTGTGCCAACGCCGCACATGAAATTTCATTGGCTGAGTGCGTACATATCATTAAATCGTTAATATTACCCGTTAGAGATGAGTTGGGGACTAATTGATCTCCAATTATACCCATAAGGGATGAGTCGAGACTAATTGACCTCCATTAGTACCCGTATGAGACTAGTTGCGACTAATTAATGCCCAATTGTACCCGATTGAGAGTAATCTCGGAATAGTCTCTTTAGAGACATATGTGTATGTATGTATTGCTGTCCTATTACAATATGAACAAACTTGTTTGCAGAAAAAAACTATTATTGGAATGAGTTCGAATGATTTGAATGTTTTTAATTCATTCATTCATATTCTTCCATTTGAAGGTAGAAAATTTAAAACAAAGTGTATATGAGTAGTCCACTTGCAAAGTGCGCTATGTAAAATTTTTTCGATTTTTAGTTTTTGGTGGATTATGTACCAGTATTTAAAGTAGTTTCATGTCCACTAACAATACAGTGCAAAATCTTTTTATATTCTGAAAAAATAGCATACAATTTTAACTCTTCTTCCAAAAGTCGCTATCATACTGATTTATAAACTTTCAAAAGTATCATCTGATGAACCTAGAAAACTGCTTTAGGTCGTATAGACTGTTAATGTTATCTTATGTCATGGTATGTTATGTTATAATTTTATAAGGCTCTTATTTATCCAAATTTTCAGGTAATAATAAAAAAGATTCAATTTAAATGTTACTTGTTGTCGTAGTCGTTTTTTCAAATTTTTGGCTTTCTATTATAAAATCACATAACGCTGTTTGCAGGTGGACTACTCATATTCATAACTTACAAAATTCCAAAGGCTGAGTGTTTTGTATGTGAAGGAAAATAATGAAATCTACTGTACTCTGCGTGGCTAGAAGTTTGAATGAATTCCTGCAGCCCTCTACTACGAGCCTATGCACCAGGGATGAAAAATTGAAATTTCAGATTGTACCTAATATCATAAAATAAATGTACCTAAATGAGACAGATTGTACCTAAAAAAAGTTACATTATTCATTTGTAGTTTTATTATAAATTTTATTTAAAACATGAATAAAAAGGATGGATGTACTTTAAACATAATTAGGGTTTTTTTTAACTGAGCCTATATTTATAGACTATAGTCTAATGGGAATCGGAGAAGCGTTGTTTTTGTCTAATTTTGACTACTGAAAAATATTGGCGAAAAAGACAAAAAACTCACTTTGCGAAGTATACTTCTTTATCCAGCAACAACACGAAAAGTCTGCTTATTTATCCGATTCCTTTTAATAGGTGAAACAAGTCTAGAGAAAATAATCAAATTGCCGTAAATAACTTCGAAAGCATTTTAAATATATTTCCAGAAATTAAAAAGCGAATATGGGTCAATAATAATAATTGTACCTAAAATCTACTGACTGTACCTAATGTACCTTTGTAATCAAACGTCGGAAAAAGGAACAATTGTACCTACTTTTTCATCCCTGCTATGCACTCAAAGTCTATGCTTCGTTCGTAGCTATTCGGATTCATTGTAGAATCTTCGTAGATTTCACGAAAATTCGGACTACGACGGGTTCAGTGATAGCCCTTAAAAATTAATTCTTCGTTGTCCTTCTGGGAATGGGTATGAATTAATACTACGACAGCTGCTAAGGGCAACTATAAATCACGATATGAAGGTGGAGCTTTCCATTGTAAATCGCTAGGATCTTTGCGAGATCACCGCACCGACGCAGAGTAGAAAAGCAGCTTGAGTTAAAAAATCTGCTTAGCCTTCAAATCTTAACCGATTTTGATCATTTTTATTGTTAAATGCTCCTCACTAATTTTACTTTTTGGAAGAGCCGGACCTTCTTAGAATTTAACGCATGGTAAAATGCGATTTCAATAGCTTGACGTCGCTTTTTCGGTGTCCTTTTTGCGGTCACGCATTTTATAGTAGTAGAAAATGTACTGATTTTTACTGGTTTTACTGCGTTTTTCATACCAATTTCGATTTAGGTGTGGAAATCAAGAATGATGTTTTTCGGACCAGGAATCGAACCCAGGTATTACAGAGTCGCAGTTGTTTTTTCTAACACCGTTCTCCCCTCGGCAGGCAATGGCAAACACCGTGAAAAAGCTTCTTCGGTTCCTGGATTTGTGTAACAATATCAAGATGCATGCCACAAACTGGAAGAACAGCTCGGCTAAACACTTAGCAACATTGTAAGTAAAATAAAACAAAACTAAATTGGAGAATAAAAACAAACTGCCAAAACATTGCATTCCCATGAGAGCCGATTCTACGTCCCGGAATGACCCGTGTTTACCCGACCAAGGGGTGTTGTTTCGGCGATCTAAACATCTTTAGGTCGGTGAAATCTCTTAAGAGTCATTACATATGGAAACGTCTGCAAATACAACCCCATTTTAGATTTTGCTGTAACTTTGAGGAACTCTTCTTTAGGGTCCCAAAGAACAGAATTTACGCTAATTTAAATTCTTATAAACGCTCGTTTTCGCCTGTCCGAATCCAAAGCTTTAAAAATCGAGATTTTTAAGCTTTAACAAATTTAGCTCTAAAGTGTTTTCTTTTTCAGATATCTACTCACTTGAGGCGGCATCTTGAAGGCAAAAGATGACAGTTTTGATACAAGCAAAGAAAATCGTATATGTAAAACAATACCTCTGAATAATGGCAGCGTCTTAAAATTAAGTATTTTTTACTTATTTTTTGTGAACTTTAATTGACTCTAGCGTATAACGGTTTAGGGTAAGCAGCTTATGTTACTCAGGAATTAAATGTGCGTATCATAGACGAAACACAGCTACGAGTCGACCCGACCAGCTCACTCCTTATAAAAAAAACTTTGCTTGAAGTTGCGAAATTTTCAAAATTCGCAATATTCAGGTTACGAAATGAACGTGTTGCCTGCTAGATATAAATATGAAACTTACGGATCTTTAACTTGATGCGGCTGTACCGCTCGTTTTTGTTATTTTTATGTTTAGTACATGTGCAAGTGGTTTTTGTATAGCCAAAATTGGTCAAATTTTTCTGTTTTATTATCTTATCTTGAAATTTTTTAAAATTCTCATAACCACGGCGTTTGATACATCAAACTTATCTAGAATTTTCCGCTGAATCCAAATATGATGGTCTCACTTTGTGAAAATGGAACGGGTTTCGAAAAACTTTAAAATTTCGCGCATTTTGTTATTTTCATGTTAAGTGCATGCGCAAATGGTGTTTATATAGGGAAAATGTAGGTACCTAATTTTATAATCTTACATTGCTGTAATTGATTATTTTTATACCCGAGCGCACTTGTGCACGAGGATATTATAACTTTGTTCACATAACGGTTGTTTGTAACAGGCAAAACGAATCGAGATAGATATACGAAAAATGTATACATAAATGATCAGAATGAAAAGAGAAATCGATTAAGCGGTGACTGTCTGTCCGTCCGTCTGTCCCGCTGTGCACACGATAACTCGGGTAAAAATTGAAATATCTTAACGAAACTTGGTAAGTGCACTTTTTTCGGGCGTAGGACGGATGGTATTGAAAATGGGCACAATCATACAACCACGCCTACCTCCCATATAACGGTAATTTTCAGAAGTACGAAAACTGCGATATTTTAGTAACTACTTAAGTTTATTCACTCAAAATTGATATTTCCAATATTTTTTTGACGAAAAATAAGAATATTATAAATTTTTGGAAAATGGGCGTAGCCACGCCCACTTATGGTTACATGTGTATATCTTGGTAACCCCTGCAATTTTTAAAATCGGACAATAAACACGCCCACATCCCATATAACGGTAATTTAGAGAAATAGGAAATCTTCGATAAATCAGTAAATATTAAAGCTAATTTATTCAAAATTGATGCTTGCAACAATTCTTTACCAAGAAATACGTTTACGTGAAATTTTGGAAAATGGGCGTGGCACCGCCTACTT